GTGTTTGTGTCGTCCTGTCGCCTTGCGACGAGCTGATCACTCGTCGAAGGAGTCCTACCGTCTGTAAAATGATCAAATTGAAAACAAAACAACCTCGAAACCGTAGGGTATAAGAGAAACGGATTATTTTTCCTTGGCACTACAGCCCCAGTGGGCCTAGCCCTACCTCCATGAACTTCTCCGTTCACTTCGGTTTTCCTAGATCTTACACATTCGGTAGGACTCCTTGGGCGGGTGATCAGCTCCTCGCAAGGCCTCTACCTGTACACAAACACAGAAAAACGCACACACACAAACTAAACATCCATGAGTGGGATTCGAACCCACGATCACGGTTTCTAAGCGAGCGAAGACAGTACATGCCTTAGACCGCTCGGCTACCGTGACCGGCAGAGGAACGGATTAAACAAGTAAATACACGTAAAAGTAAAATATATTTGATAGATCGACTTCTGTGTTCAAGTTTTCTCGGGATATTTATTTCGACACTGTCCTCCCAACTACGGTTACAATGATTATCTCACACATAAGTTCGCATATGTTGATTATTTAATGACGCTGTCAGTATCGAGACTATATAGCGTCGGACGAATGAGAAACCCATCCTAGTGAGACTTTGTACAACACAGTATCACACATGATCTGACCTGCGATCGAACTGAGGCTCGCTGAGTTGGGAAATAGCCTAATAATATCCTGAGCCATGGCATGAGCAGTTTTATATTCTAATCTTCCTGTGGATGTGATAATGCCTGCCCTTCCAACGTGACAGTTGGTAGATGTCTTCTGTTGTTTTCGTCAAGAGTTTCTTTTTAAGGTTTCACTTTAGAACACAACATCTGCCATGCATACTGCAGGAAAGGCTGTTATTTTGAGATACCGCATTCATCTCGACTTCATGGCTACACGTTTACATTGCAGTATTTGTTCTTTTGTTTCTTCGGGTATCGCGTTTCGGCAGGCTAACGCGATGACGCAGATAAGGACCATTGTTTCATATATTTGTCCTCGACGAAAGTGGCCCAGTTATTTACAATTAATCTGGAATCTATATTATTATTGTAGCATGTTGACCCATTGCTAAGTAACGGCTCTCTAAGCAACGCCCGTTTCTAGTCAACAGATTCCTAACACGCACCAATGCACTAACTGGTAAGCGGTGTTCTTTACGCGGTCCGTGAGACAGCTACGAAAAATAGAAAACTTGTCGAGAGATTTTTTCTATGCGGTCCGTGATGAAGTGTTGTAAGCATGACAAGTCTATAGTTTAGTTAGTTGTGAGACAGTCGCTGACCAGTAAGGGCGTGAACACGGAAGCTGAGGAAGCTACTGCGTTGGAAGCCGTTATCAGGCGACAACCGGAGAATATACAGCAGACTGAGATTTCGCATGTGCTTTAGTATATTATTGAGAGTGTGAATTAGCGACAACGCTATAGTTACTTGTAGTTACGATCTGTAAGAGTTCAATAAATAAAATTACCCATCCAAACCCCGTCTATAGTCACACTCTAACACGTGATATTATAGGTATATTTGTACTTAAGTTTATCCGCCATGCTATCAAAATATGTGGGGAAATGGAGGTAAATTCCACGTGCTCTTAACGATGAAATTAGACGAACTTTAGTGGTGAGTTTCACGCTCCGGTCGCTTTACTAGTCGGAGGAAGAGGCATTGAATATGGGGTTGGTTGGGTTCCAGAGCCGGTAGGACTTGCTGGTACAGACATACGTATCTTCAGCTGAAGAGAATCTACGCTGTAAGCCCGAATATCAGGAGATCCCCTATTTTTCCCAGTAAAGAGTCCAGATTTTTTTTTTACGAATGGAGTATTCATTCAGTTCTGAGAGCTGTAACCAAAAATAAGTAAAAACTGTTACATTTAGAATTAAATCTTAAATATAATTCTAAGCATTTTCACAAATATCATTAGGATTAAAAATTAGAACACTTCATAATCATCATCTTCATATTTCTTCTTAAGGACACGAAAATAAGGCGATGCCTCTTTTCTAAGAAGCAACATTTGAAAAGCAATTCCTTTCATAATCGGGCTATTGCGGTAACTCCTGTTATCCAGCCTAGACAAATGTTTTATTATTATTACTGTCACGTGTATGTGTGACTATACTAGACGAGGTTTTGATTGCTGACTGGATTTATTGACCACTTATACACACGACTCACAACTACAAGCAATTACAGCGTCACCATTAATCTCCACAATTCACAAATCAATACATCACCTGCTAAGACTTTACCAGCCTCCTGTGTCTTCAGCAGCAGTTCCTTGGCAACGGCTTCCAACAGTGGAGATTCTTCAGCGTCACGCGCTCAGGTCCTCTTTTTACAGACTCTAGTACAGAACTCAACTGAACTAAACTGACTTTGTCCCTGCTTATAATATTTCGGCACGGACCACGCAGAAACACTCCCTTTCCAACAGTAACTCTATTGTCGCGTGCGTATTCGTTGCAGAGGTAACGTATTTACCGAGCTGTCGTTGTTTATAGTCACCGCTTAGCAACGGTTCTATATGCCATATTATTATTATTTACTAACGTCACCATCTGTGTTCGAGAACCTGATGACGGAGACACAGCATGTCTCTAAATGCTGATTTTTAACTGATCTTAGACACCACTGGTTATCCGAGAAGAATTTAGTGCATTTATTCACCAAGAACCCCCCCCCCCCAAAGTGTCTCCACCTTGTCGTGGTTGTGGGGCTTGCGTGACTCTGTGACCTGGAGAGCTATGCCGGCGGTAGTTTAACCATCGGTAGAGTCACATATGCCGGAAAGGTAAAAGGGTAGAATCGAGACTAAGAGAGATACCCAGGTCCTCCAAGTTGGGGGTTGGGCATGAGGCTCACCTCATCCTGTAAAAAGAATTTTGTTCCGAAACCTAACAACCAGCCCTGGGTAATCATGCGTGGATCCATTCCTATGGCAGCACGCATTGGTTGTGGAGACTGGTTGTAGAGGAGGCCAAGGCTCACCCAGGGCTGTAGCGTCGAGTGGTAGGTAGGCAGGGAGGTAGGTAGGTCGGTAGGTAGTCACCAAGAAAGCTTCAAATCTTAAGATAATAACTTGCATACCCTAAGTCGAGATATCTATCTACGGTGTATTCTCACCTCTGTTATATTGTGCTTTCTCTCACTTACAGACGTCTGTATTTAACTGGTGTCTCATGTCCGGTTTTCCGTCGTCACTAAGGACTGTGACGCCGAACACAAAGTGTTCTGTGTTCTCACGGAATTCCGGCCATTGTACTTCCTCTGGCGTACTACTTCGCCTTAAATACCTGATCTTATGCAGATATTTATATAAGCTCATTTTCACTTCTGAAAACTACTTTTGCAAGCCGTAAGAGAGCGTCTCCTTTAATGACCACTTGATCATACCAATTCCGAGGGCTACATCCCCCTATTATGTCATAGTCTGTACAGTTACTGGGGCACGCGGTGGATTAGTTAGCTGGTGGAGGAATTACACTACAAGCCGGAAAATCGCAGTTCGATTCCCGACGAGATCATTGGATTTTTCAGTTTACCTAAATTCCAGCTGCACTATGACCCTTGGGTACCACATTTTCTAGACAATCGGGTCACAGGCGACTGTGAAGTTGTCAGCCCTACACATCGGCCACTCTTTAACCCCCAGGAAGATTCCTGGTACTTATTTCTTCAGGTTACAATGGAAAGTACAATGGGAAATGAAGCATTATGGGAAGAAATAGATGTTAAATCACCCGGAGCAAATCTGATTCATTATATGTTTCAGAGATTTAAAAAAAAATTATTAACCCCTGGTCTGCGCGCACGCAAGAGCAAACACACACACAGAAGGATTTATAACTTGTTACAGCTGTAATGGTTTACAATACTAGGATTATTTATTCTTTTTATAAAAATATGCATAAGTGTATTTCTTCCTCTCTACGGAGCCACGTTTTAACAAACTGAATCGGCGTTTAAGTGTGTTTAATGACATATTATGGGAAGACGGATAGCACATTATATCTTCCGTGAATACATAACTTTAATTGCGACAAGAAAATGCGGTTAAATTTTAACCAACACAAAAGGTATATGTTCAGGTAAAGCTTGCAGACGGATTTGCCTCTTGCTCTTCATTAAAGCGCATGGCCACCGACTGTAGTTGGGATAGCTCAGTCGGTATAGCGACGGGAACGCGTTCGATTTCAGGCAGTACAAGAATTCTCTCTTCCCACAGCTTCCAGTCCGACTCTGCCATCCTCCTATTCAATGGGTACCGTGGTGTCTTTCCTCGGGGATAAAGAGGCAGGGGCGTGAAGCTGACCACTCACCTCCATCTACTGCCAAGGCCAAGAGTGCCTGAGCTACACTTCCCAGTATGTCTTCATGGCAGTGCTTAGTTAAATAAGCACAAGACAATTTTACGTTTGTTCCTATGGCCAATAACGGTTTTGATCCAGAGCAGATTTTAACCACAATTTTTTTCTCTAAAACACAAGTCAGCAAGATCCGGCATAGCGCAGTCGGTATAGTGATTGGACACTGGCTGAACGACCGACGGGTTGGAGTTCGTGTCCAGGTAGGGTCAAGAATTTTCACTTCTCCATGTCGTCCAGACCGAGGCTCGGGTTCATCCAACCTCCTATCCAATGGGTACCGGCGGTCCTCTACCCTGGGGTAAAGAGGCCAGGGCGTGAGGCTAACCACTCACCTCCAACTAATGCTGAGGTGAAGAAAATATGGATCTATACATCAACTCCACCATACGCCTCCATGGCGTAGTGTTTAATTAGTTAGGTACATGGACAACTTTACTTTTGCCTTAAGGAACAAACAATAAAGAAACAAACTCCGTGGCTTTAGTTCGCAAGCGGACTAAACATACAAGTGAGCAAATCACTGGATATATGTCCTCCCATTAGCCGTCGCTGTGTTCGTGTTGTGGAAAGAGAAAACTGGCGCAGTCGCAGTTCTGCCACAAGGGTCACAAGTACTTACCACGCCCGGTATTGCTGCGCTCACGAAGAGCGCCAGAGAGTCAGGCCAAGGCAACAGCCTGTATTGCTCCCACCACCGCTTGACGATGAGGCTGACATAGAAACCCAACACGAAAGACATGGGGATGCTCTCACCCTGCTGCCCAAAATAAAGACGGATTTTTTCGAATATCCTGAAACACAAAACATTTCAATTCTGTAATCATTTTATAAATCGTCACTATAATCAAGCACCGCTACTGTAGTATACAAGGTTGGATTTGAGGTCCTCAGCAACACTCGTAGAATCTGCTTTTGGACGCCAAAGGAATTAGGGGTTGATTCCATACAGTGCCACAGATTTCTCTCGTCTCCGTAAGTTCAGCCCGCCTCCGAGGCTCATAAAGACAGGGGGGTGAAGCTAACGACCCGGCTCCAACTCGTGCGGAAGTTAAAAATGACGGAATTAAGCCTCCAGCCCCTCACATGTATTGGTGGCATGATGCTTGATTTGTTAATTACTAAAACAGACGGACAACTTTAACTTTTCTTTAAAGAGCGAGACTATGTTTCACATAGGCCACGCCATGGCTCAAGCAGTTAGTCGCTGGCTTCCCACCGCGGCGACCCGGGTTCGATCCCGGGTCTGGTCAAGTGGGATTTGTGGTGGACAAAGTGGCGCTGGGAAAGGTTTTCTCCGAGTACTTCGATTTCCCCTGCCAATCTTCATTCCACCAACTGCTCCACAATCACCCTCACCTATCATCTGGGGCTGGTACAATAAGCCAAAGTGGCCGCAGTACAAGGGACTTAGTCCCACCCCACTAGCAATAAAAGAATGTTTTACATCCATAAGTAGCCAAGCAAAATTAGTTTTCGTATTCTGATTGTAAGGGTTTTGGTTTGTACACAGGATAATAACAGTTTTAATCATTAATGAACTTAAATAAATATATTTTAATGATTATATCAAGGAGAATAAAATTCTAGATATATGCAACACTGATGGGGAAATGAGAAATGTGCACAAAATTTCAACCGTAAACGTGCAGAAACAGATCTTGAGAAAAAGAATTGTGGATGGAAGGATAATGTTAAAACGCATCTGAAATGATAGGACCCAGTGGCAGACTTTTCTGAAATTTCGAGCTCTAAAATTAATGAGGGTCAATTTATTGAGCATCTGAGCAACTATCATACTGAAGAAAAAATGTGAGTACAATGAGACAGTACATCAGCTATTCGTAGACTTCAAGAAAGCCTATGAGTCAGTTAGGATGGAAGTATTGTACAATATTCTGATAGATTTGGGGTACCCACGGAAATAGTTAAGACTGATAAAATTTGTTTGAACGAAACTTATGTAAAGTCTGTATAGGTAAACCTTTGTCTGATAATTTTCCTATCCACAATGGTCTAAAAGCAAGGACATGCTTTACCGCCACTTCTTTTCAACTTTGCTTTAGAATATGCCATTAGCAAGGGCTAGGAAAACCAGGTGGGACTTAAATTATATAGGACACATCAGGTGCTGATCTATGCTGATGATGTGAATCCACTGGGTGATAACAGACACTATAAAGAAAAATATACAGACTTTAATTGGCGCCAGTAAGGAGGTTGGTCTAGAAGTAAACACACAGAAAACTAAGTATGTGTTGCTGTCTCATCACGAGAATGCAGGACGAAATCATGACATACACACTGTGTCCAGGTGCTGTTAGGACCATGTTCATTTAAAATACAAGACATGAATTATTTTCAAAATTTCACTTTTTATTCAAGATAGTCTCCTTCTGATTCGACTGAATTTTTTTCGAAAACAATCACTGTACTCCTTTTGTGGAATGGCATTTAAAACTGCGGTACATTCCCTTTGGATTTCCTGAAAGGTGTCATGACGGTCTCCTTTCATCGCCAACTTAACTTTTGGGAACAACCAGAAATTTGCTGGAGCCAAATCTGGCGAATACGGAGGATGCTCAAGGACTGTGATCCCTTTTCTGGCCAAAAAATCGCGCACGAACTTCGATTTGTGGGTAGGGGCATTGTCGTGGAGGAGCGACCAGGAACCTTGCTCTCGATATTCAGGTCGAATTCGAAGAATTCTCGTCCACAAACGGGTGAGGACTCCGAGATAATAATCAGAATTCACTGCTTGACCTTGTGGCAGAAATTCCTTGTGAATATTCCTTTGGGATAGAAGAAAACGGTTAGCAGTGTCTTTACTCGACTCTTTTACATGCGCACTTTCTTTGGTTTCGGCTTCTTTGGGCTCAACCACGCTGCACTCTGCCGCTTTGTGAGAGGCCCATGTTGAAAACACCATGTCTCGTCACCAGTAACAATCGATTTTGTAAATTTTGTATCACTTTGGGCCGGCCGACCGTAACATGTCTTTGCAGTATTCCACTCTGGCATGTTTTCATTGCCTGACAGCGCGTGCGGTACAAACCGCGCACATACCTTCCGTTTTCCCAAATCCTCGGTCAAAATCTGATGCACAGTATTTTTTGGTATTCTCAAAAGCTCCTCGATGAGTCTTGCAGAAACACATCTGTCTGATGCAAGGATTTCGGTCACTCTTTTCACGTTTTCTTCAGTGCGACTTCTTCTTGGCTTTGATGCACGTGGAGCGTCTTCAATGTCCTCCCTGCCGTCACGAAATACAGCATACCATCAGAAAGTGTTCGAGAGACTCAAACAATCACTACCGTACACACTTTTCATCATTTCGTACGCTTCTCTGGTTGTTTTGTCTAACTTCAAACAAAATTTGATGTTGGCTCTGTGTTCAACCGCCATTTTCCAACGAGAGTCAGAACAGTACTGTTACATTCCAGGTCAGAACACATGATGCAGCGATGCTTGCGCTTTGAAATTATAGATAGCCACAGCTGAAACTTCAAGAATCTTAACGCCACAACTCGCCGACAGATGGCATTACAGGGCAAAAGAAAGGGGGGGGGAGGGAGTCATGACGGATCCTGGACACACCGTGTATACTCGTATTCCACCATCCTGCTGTAATGGATAATGGAACGATAACAACACAATGTAATACTTCAGCATTCTGTTGAAATAGCTAATCACTGAATGGGCTCAGGCAGCCTTGGAGGTAAGCTATCCATGTGATAGGCCGTGGAGGCCCATAGGGTTCAGACATCGAGGCTCCCACATTTTCTAGACAATCGGCTCACAGATGGCGGTGAGGTTGTCGGCCTTACGCGCCGGCCGCCCATTACTCCCCAGGAATATTCCTGGTACTCATTTCTGTTAGAGGCTGAGTCGACCCCAGGACCATAGTGCGGCTGGAAGGATTAGGGCAATTGAAAAAAAAAACAATGATCTCATCGGGAATCGAACATTCGACCTTCCGGCTTGTAGCATAGTGCCTCAACCTACTACGCTACCGCAACAGTAATATGTGACAATGTAGCACACGCCAGTCTAGGAACACGATAAGTAGTTTCGCCTCTAGAATTTCTTCTGGGAACTGATCGAAACAACACCATGTCTTAGCCCACAATGGGAGATCTTACAGGGCTTTACCGCCGTGAAAAACTAAAGCCCTAAACAGGGCACCTGTGATTAAAACAGATTAAATATAATCTTCTAAGCAATTCGGCGAGACTTGAGCAGCCATGTTGCGATGGAAACAAACGTGCCCACACACCTTATTAAACGGTACTTTATGGCGTCTGTTACTTACTGTGTCTCTCGGTGGCGTACGGCCAAGTCTGTGTCTGATAATTTCAATTCGTAACTGGCTTCCAGGTATCGTAGTATCGAATTATATCCTACTACTAATCAGCTTTCGTTTTTTGGGAGTTCATAAAGAAATCTGCGTGGCCATTCAAAGTTCTGAATTCCGTAATTTGTAAACGGAGCGGAAAGGCGTAACGACAAAGTCTAGACTTTCTTTGTGGAGATAAACTAAAGCTATCTTCATGGAGATGAGCCCTTCCTGGCAAGCCGCTAGTTGTGCAGCTACACAACTTCTGAATATTTTATGGAACCCGAAGGTTAATTGCCGTGTTCACAAGAGCCCTCCATTGGTCTCTATCCTGAGCCAAATCAATCCAGTCCATACCAACACATCCTATCTCTCTACGATCAATTTTAATATTATCCACACACCTACATCTTCGTCTTTCAAGTGGTTTCTTTCTTTTGGCTTTCCTACCAATATCTAATATGTATTCCCCTTCTCCTCCATGCATGCTACCTGCTCTGTTAATCTCACCCTACAGGACTTGATCATACTAATTATACTTGGAGAAGAGTACAAGTTATGAAGCTCTTAATATGCAGTTTTCTCCAACCTCCTGTCACTTCATCTCTCTTCAGTCCAAATATTCTCCCCAGCACCCTGTTCTCAAACACCCCCAGTCTATGTTTCTCCCTTAATGTCAGAGACCAAGTTTCATACCCATACAGAACCAGAGGCAAAATTATGGTTTTGTATATTCTAATTTTTATGTTTTTAGATAGCAGACGAGAAGACAAAAGGTTCTGGACTGAATGGTAGCAAGCATTACCCGAATTCAAATTTGGATTTGTTACTGTCGTTCCAAAACATTCGAACTGTGCCAAATTTTCGAAGGATCTGTTACTTATCTTCATGTCATAATTTTGCCCTGCATTCTGGTGACGAGACAGCAACATATACTTATTTTCCTCTCTGAGGAGGTATTCGGTTCAAATTTATATCGGGACATCAGCTAAACTCACCGAGATTTTCTTGGATGTCCACCGGCCTTCAGTCAAACACCGGGATAGTACCGCGTTCACACAGTGTAACAACCCAAGAACAGAACTGACATAATTTATTGCCCAGAATGACAGCCTAAAATTAGCAATTAGTAAAAGAAATAATCTTAGTGAAAAAATATAACAATTCGCAAACATCTCAATATTAGGATTTGAGAATATTACATCGGTGGTGATATAACGCAGTGTAGCTGAACTCTACTTGCCACCTGCTTTCACGCTGGTACCTTGTTCGGCTGATTCTTAGACCCTCAAGATGGAGGCGACATGTTCTCTGAAAAGTCGGTTGACTTTCAATTGACCTCACGGCGTCATATCCCAGAATATAGTACTCTTCAATTTGAATACTGACTATCTCTTTTTGGTACCCGCATTATGTCCCTGGGGTCGACTCAGCCTCTAACAAAAACAAGTACCAGAA